AGGTATTGTTGAGGAAAGTAAAAGGAATCCAAAAAATGCAAAAAAAGGAATTTCTCCGTTCCACGTCCGTTATGCGCGCAAATACGCGCGCACTGACCCGCACGCGCTGAAATTTTTGAAACGCTTAAAATTGTCTGAAAGGTATAGAAAATTACTTGGTTTGCGGTTTTAAGCACTTTAAATTCTTATTTCTTTTTGACCTGCGCGTACGCTCACGTTTGAAATGGAAGGTGCATGTGCGTGGGCTAAAATTCTGACGCATGACCTGAGCATGATTTTATGCCAAATTTGAATTGAAATTGATATTTCATGGCTGAGGTACGACCATTAATGACATTTCACATACTGACGTCATGATGACATCACGATGACCTGGCATCGCTGTAAAGTCAGGCAGTTCTAAGTTGGACTAAGATCTATCTTCAGGCCAAGTTTCATGACAATGGCTTGTTCCATTATTGAGATATCCTGCGAACAAGTTTATGGAAGAATAATAATAAATTCTTCCATACAGAAACAAAATAAATACTAGACTTGGTGATACTTAAAAATGCTCATGTGTAACATAATGAAGAACGCATTTTCGTGATTTCATCTTTCGTTATAAAATACTTCTCCCATTTATGGTCTATCCATGAGTCAAGTTTCAACTGTGTAGGGCAGAGGGAGACAGAGCAATAGAATAAGAGGGAGGCAAGGCAAGAGAGAGAGAGAGAGAGAGAGAGAGGGGCAGAGGGTGAAAGAGTAGAGAGAGAGATATAGATAGATGCAGAGACAGACCAAAAAAGGGATAGGGGCAAAACATGAAACCAAGTAACACATCAATCCATTGAATATTAAGAAACTGAAACATCTTTAAATTGTTTTCCACCTCATTCCATATTCTGGACCCTTCAGAACATTCAAAGAAGATAAGACGATAGGTTTCTACCTCTTTTCTACAAAAGGAACATACATTTGACTGTGTTAATCCAAAAAGATACAGTTTATCATTACAAAATATGACCATGATTAAGAGTGGTATAGCGCCCCCTTCAGGTATTTGATAGAGATTTGTAGAATCAAAATTGCCGAAAAAGTAGCCTTACACGCAAACTAAGAAAATTCTGACATGTCGCCTTTAATTGAATTTTTCACTATGATGATGTCATCAAAATGATAAATAATGTACGTCATTCTTGTAGATAATTTTCTTAGCTACACCGTATCAAAATTTGGGAGAACATAGAGCACAAATAAGCTAGATAGTGCTCAAAGATCAATGTCATGTAGATTCATGATGTGAACGAAATTCACCTTACATAGGCATAACACTCAAATTGAGAAAATTCTGACATGTGGCCTTTAATTGAATTTTGTACTATGATGACATCAATGAAATAAAAAGCAGTGTGTATTTATCTTGTAGGCAATTGCCTCAGCTACAAGATACCGCAATTTGGAAGAAAATCAGTCAATATTATGAGAAATACACTAAATTTCCATAAATATAATGACGTCATAATATGCAATTTTGTATTTTGACTTCCAAGGCCATTATGATGACGTCAAGATGCATTTAATGGCCAAATGAGATTTAAAATCATATCTCTGACTCATACTCTATCTAAATATGAAAAAAACTTGGCAGTCCTTATTCATCCCAATGGACTTTTTATAGGCATGTTTTTGCCCATATATGCTATGTAATACATGAGCTCGCGCGCACGGATATTTATCTTGAACGGACGCTCATTCCGTTATTAATAGTGATAAAGAGATGAACATGGTATCAAAATGCTTGGAAAAATATGTCAAACATGATGACAGAGAAAATTCGCCGATTATATTTTGTAAAATACCAGAACGCGCAAAAAACGTGCGCGCATGCGCGTTTGAGTGTTTTTTTTGTCAAATGCTCCATATGGCTTGAAACGTATGCAAAAAAAATTTGGGATGATTTAGAGCATTTTAAAATTTTGCGCGGAAAAACGCGTACGCGCACATTTGTGCACGTTTTTTGACCTGAAATTGACCGGACGGATATTGATCTTATTCTTAAAGGTGAAATTCAAAGAAAATCCCAATATGTCAACTAATGTATGACTAGAAACTGGTAATCTAACAGATGGCCATCGTACAAGTTATAGGTCAACTACATATCGGGTGATTTATAAAAAATACAAATACAACCACCTCCATAGCAGCTGGGATATACCAGAGATTCGCCGGAAAAATAACGATGTTTTAATGACGTCACTATATGGACCAACACTGCCCAAGCAGACGACATCCCATAGAGAATGAACATAATTGCAAAGCTATTATTTGTCAAAGTATAATGAGTTTAGTGTATATAAATGTAATGGCATGTCAAACCATTCAAAAGGGGATATGACCCGATTCTGATAACTAAAATCTTTTGCTTGTAAATACACAGGATAGGGGTTAATTAACAATCAAAGAAACCAGACTTTCAAATTGAAAACCCCTGGAATGATATTAAGGACGGCATTTGTTCCCTCTTGAAACGCCGAACATACCCCGGTGTGTGCAGCTGAATATACAATGGCGTCTTATTTTGTTTACAAGCGACAGATTCCTTTATTTTGGTATCGCTGCATTTGTCATCAAAATAAAACCATGCGCGGGGTTAAGAGTGAGGCAATAGATTATACATTTAGCCTGACGGTAGTGAAGTAAGAGAAAGAACTCAAGAAAAGATGAAAACACAGGCACTGAAAATGTGTGAGATGTCATGGGGCATCGTCTGCTTGTGCAAGTCATGTCCATACTGTGATCTCACACATCTCAGCAGCGTTCGGAGAACTCTTCCGGTGCTATGCCGGGGCTGTATTTAAGCGTTTTGTAATTTATAATAATCATTACTTCGAATGTTTCCATGCATTGTAATTTGATAACCTTGTCGAATCAAAGTTTCAACTTTGCAATAATGAAAATAAATTTAGTTTTAAAAATCAATGAATATCAACTTTAATAAATATGAATGAAAAATTACTTTCCGTTATGAAGATATGATCATAAGTTGATTTTCACAAAATGGCGCCTGGATGACGTCACGATAATTTTGAGTTTCTGAAAAGTCACGCAGTTCTAAGTTAGACTAAGATCTATCATCATGGAAAGATTCATGATTATGGCTTTATTCAGTCTTGAGATATCTTGCGAACAAAAGGAGGAAGAATAATAATAATAATAAAAATCTTAACGAAATCAATAAGTGATACGTAGACTTCGTATGTATCACCTAATTATAATAATAATCTTTTTAAAGTCCACTCAAAATTTTATTAAGTTAAACCGAAAATGGAAATTCTTTTTGCCCAATTGATCGTGAGCCCGGCAGCCACTGAGCAGCGCCAGATCGACGTTGCTCTATCCCTTATTGTTGAACACCAAACAAGGTAGCAGCAACTCCCGTCTTTTCACGTCTTTTGGTATGACGCGGCCGGAGTTCGAACCCACGACCTCCCGGTTGTGAGGAGGAAGCTCTACTGAATGAGCCAACAATAATAATAATAATATTTGATTTTTATATAGCGCTTAATACAAATGTCTCTAAGCGCTTTACAAATACACTATTACAATGATGATTAATAATTAAACAATTTTGTATAGCTCATAAAACACATATGCAAAAATGGTGCACTGGGTTAATGATTGTGAGATCTTTTAAAGTGCTAAATAGATATGTTTTCAAATTATTTCTGAACTTGTCATATTTTTCTACATTTCTAAGATATTCTGGCAAGTTATTCCATAAAACAGTGGCTGCGTATCAAAATGACCTTTCCCCTTAAGATTTTGTCACAGACGATAAAGATAAAGATAAAGACTTTTTTAATGGAATGCAGTGTTCTTTCTGGTTTATAATGTATCAACAATTCAATGAGATATGATGGAGCATTACTGATGGAAACACTGATAAGTTAATAAAAGTACTTTAAAGGCACACTGTCCTACTTGTAGCTACTTGCTCCCTCTATATAGAAAACTTCCCCAATCGGTGCCTGTTGGTCCCCCATGATCCTCTTTTTCTTATGTTTAATAAATGAGAGCTGAGTTAATGAGATAGCCACCTGTCACAGTGACCTCTCTGGCTCGCTGGGTGGTCTAATCCCTTCTAGCTGAAGTAGTAAAGCCTACCTTTAAACTTGATGTGGGACTAGATATTTTTCTTAAACTATTAGTCATATTTAATATGCAGTTCAATTGATGCTTAATCACTACAATAGTGACATGAACATGTATAGGCAGACTCACTTCAAAATTTCTTTTTGATCATAAGCTTGGTTGTATTTTTGAAAAAGACCAAGATGATAGAGTGACCAAAAAAAGGAGTGTTTTAAAGGTCAGTTGTCCTAGTTCAGCCAGAAGGGAGTAGCCCACACAGCAAGGTTTATACTGACAGGTGGCTATCTCATTAACTCAGCTCTCAATTAACATAAGAAAAAGAGGATCATGGGGGACCAACAGGCACCGATTGGGGAAGTTTTCTCTATGGAGGGACCAAGTAGCTACAAGTAGGACAGTGTGGCTTTAATAAGATGTTGAAAGATACCAGATGTTCATGCCACTCAAAATGTGAGTTTAATTATCCAGAGAATTGAGTCAGCCAGAGATTCTCGCCTGTGACACTTCAACATATGATTTGTAGTTTAATCATTGTGATGAGGATGCTTGTTCTGTGATAAATCAACCTCATCAGAGGTTCATACATCCAAACTTGACTAATAAAGTTAAATCTAATTTTAAAAGACCAACTGGCCTGTCATATAATGATGCTTTTGACCGGTGATTAGTACATTTACTTTCTAATGACTGGTTGCACATTTAGAGAAATAAATGCATGGCCACATATTTCCTCTTAAAACCAACCATTTCATAAGGATTATGTTCTTTTTTCATAATATGCAATCTGTAGACATTTATTTATGTAATTTTATGGAAAAAATGTCAAATGTTCTAATTGGAGAAGGAATCCTACTTGTTCTTTGCAGAAGTGGTCTGGTTAACAGACTACTGGTCAGGATCCAAAGTCCATTTCTATGGGACCAAGAGGTTTCTGGAGAAGGTCAAGGAAAACCACTCCCTTCTGGTGGTCAATCACAGGCAGGGTGTCGACTGGTGTGTCATCTGGCAAATGGCGGAAAGATTTAAGATGTTAAGAGTGAGTTCCTTTATCAAATATCTCTGTCTTCTTCTTCTTCATGTCTTTTTCCCCTCTGTTTGTCCTCGTGACATGCACATGTATGTTCTATAAATGCCTTTAATTTTGCAGTTATGAACATTATCAAACTTATTTCATAATTTACACATGAGTAGTTGTGCACTAAAACTGTTTGATGTAGGTCAGTATTTTTAATGACTATCTAGATGACAGATAGTCAAGCCCCTCCTACTACCCTTCCTCTCCAACCGGTGCTATAGTTCTCTTTGGAGCTATAAGCTCAAGAAAGATTACAACAGTCCATTTCAGGACTACACAAACACTCAAGTAAGAAAGATTACCGACAGTCTTTTTCAGGACTCCCCAATCCTCCCTCTCTCTCACACATAGTGCAACCGTATTAGCCTACTGTATGTCTACATCACCATGCAAGCCGATAGTCCGATACTTATAAGCAGCAACTAAATATATCTTGTGCATGATTACTTGTCCTTCTACTAAATCCAAATGTTTAAACAAGAAATGAGTCATGACTCTGCTGTTTTCAGAAGTGTTCATGAAGTGATAAAAAAGTGCATTTGTTGCACAATGTTTTATCCAAGTTTATCTTCGTTTACCATTGTATTTTCTGTATATGTAAGCATATTTTTTCTTCTCTTAAAGCTCTATGTAATTCCCATCCACTATTTATCTCTAAATTGATACTATTTGTACACGCTAACAACTAAAATTCAAGTCATCATTTAAAGGGGCTGATGAGTGAATCCTTTTTCAAAATGTCAGATTAACACTTTTAACATGCTAGATTTGAATTTCAAACTTCAAAGTCTTAATCTCCATCTACCATTTAACAAAAATTGTAACTCCTAGGCCCTATTTAATGGTGATTTCACATTCTAGTTTTTAGAGCGTATATGAATTAATGATTCTGTTAAAAAAGTTAGAAATTTTTATAAGTTTCTTGATTATGTGACTGTTTTTTGCAAGTACATAAAAATAACTAACTTTTATTGTAAACTCAAGGGGGCGAATTCACAAAGGAGGCTTACATTTAACCCATGGTTTAAAGCCCCACTGTCGTACTTCTAGCTACTTGCTCTCTCTATAGAGAAAACTTCCCCTATCGGTGCCTGTTGGTCCCCATGATCCTCTTTTTCTTATGTTAGTTGAGAGCTGAGTTAATGAGATAGCCACCTGTCAGTGACCTTGCTGTGTGGTCTAATCCCTTCTGGCCCAGTAGTATTGAGGGTCTTTAAAACTTCATTTACATAACCCATGGTTTAAAAATTAGCGCAAAATAAGCGTATCTTGCCTTGCGCGCGTCTAATATTGGACCTCTTGACTGTGTTGCGCTTATTTTGTGCTAATTTTAAACCATGGGTTATGTAAATGAAGGTTTAAACCATGGGTTAAATGTAAACCTCCTTTGTGAATTCGGGCCAACGGTGCCAGATGCTAGTAGGCCTACATTTACATGTATTTGAGGGACTTGATAATTAAAGATCTATGCCTTACCCACAGGTCAATAACACGTTCAGACAATCAGAATTCATTGTAAAGCTAATACGAGCATTGTACTATATATATAATAAACCACAAAAGAGTAGTTGAACATTTATTCCGTGCAGATGCAATCAAGTTTGAGGTTGCGTTAGCTTGTACCGTGAATCTCTGTGTATAAGACGCACCCCTATTTTTGGGCCAAGAAAAAAAAGTGGAGGAATTATTATTATAAACTTCATATTGAGATCTATATCAGAAAGATTACTTTCAAACCAAGATGACAGACAAATTTGGGTGTTGTTGTAGTTTCCGAGTAGTGAGTCAACACACCGATTACTGAGCTGGGAGACATTGCCAGGCATAGTGCCAGGTGGAGGGGCATAAATCAAAACTTTAAAAAAAAGTGTGTCTTATACACGGAGATTTACGGTAGGTAAAATGAGTGTTTCCCGGCTGGCAGTCTAGAATTCTGAGTACCCATTGTTTCAGTCTGGTGCGAACCCTTGCCGTTGTTAGCAGACAATCGTTTATAACTTTGAGGGTTTCATAAACGAGAAGGTTAAAACTAGGAAAGTCTAGTTTGAACATAGCTACAATCAGCTTCTTTTTCTGTTTTTCTCCATCATTTATTAATTGAATAATGCGTACATAAGAGACACAAAATTATATCGATTACAAAGAAAAACACATGAATTATACTTAACGGTATATCAAAAAATGAATTATACTTTTTTGTTTAACATAGTCAACATTTTTTTCCAGAGGTGATACTTTTCGACATTTGCCCTCCATAATATTTCCTTTAAATAAATGTTGAATATGTTTGTGAAATCACATTTTCTTTTTTGTGTATATAAAACAATCAGCTTTTCTTTTTCTTGTCGTTGATAGGGTGCCAAGTGTCTGATGAAGAAAGAGATCAAATATGTGCCTTTCTTTGGTTGGTCCTTCTGGTTGACAGAGCAACTGTTTGTCAACCGGGATTATGCTAAAGACAAGAACAGTCTTATGAAACAGCTCAAGAACATCACCACATATGACTTTCCTACTGTGGTAAGTATGGGGGTAGATAGGTGTACTCGTATGCAAGACTTCCCTTGCATATACCATGCCTGATAATTACCCGATTCAAATCCGTTTCCTGATTATTATTTTTTTCCCCAATTATTTTTCTTCTTTCTGATTTTATCCCTATTTTCCAGATTTTCCCCTTATTTTCCCAATTTTTTTCCCAATTTCCTTCTCAAAGGGGGGGGGGTAATGTTTTTTTTCCAATGATGCCATTTTTTTCTTCCCCGAATCCTTTTTTTTTTTTTTACTCAAGGGGGGTGGGGGGTGGGGGGGGGGGGTTAAGGTTTTTTAGTGCTCACTATCACCCTGTAATGCACCGATTAATTGCCATTTGGTCTAATGATACAGTTGTGAGGTATATAATCACACAATATAATACTGATAACCACTTGATTTAGTGGCAATGAAAATTCAACTTGTTTTTTGTTATTTTCTTTTGTTGTTTTTGTTCAATGTAGACCCTGATATTTTGTGAAGGGACTCGATTCACGGAAGAGAAATACGAGAAGAGCCAAGCATTTGCTCGAGAGAAGGGCCTACCATGTCTGAAGCATCACTTGGTGCCCAGGACTAAAGGCTTTAACCTGTGTATAGAGGCATACAAGGGCAAAGGTAAACAGGTCAAACAAAATAAAACCTTAATCGTCAACTGTTAACCAATTCAAAACTTGTTATAAGACACATTTATTTAAAAATTGCTTTTGATGATTAACTAAATCTCTGTTCACATTGATGTGTACTTCATATGTATTGTAATTTTTAGGTTTATTTGTATTTTCTCTTTGTTTTGTTTAATATGTTATTGTTTATCATTGTATTTTGTTTGTTATAGCGCTTTAATAGAGACTTCGGTGGTTTTTTAATTATTTTATTATTCAACTACTACTAAAAGAAAGCAGAACATTCAGACTAGTATTCAGTTAAATAATTGTTGTCAGAAAAAAATAGTAATTGTAAATTAAACTCCGTAGTGAGCTTCATACTTGGCCAATATCGGTATAAAGTTGTATCTCTTGGCTAGGAATTTTATCTAGCAGACGGAATGCCAAATTATTTGAGAGCCTTGAGATGGTTCTGTAACGATAAAGACCAAAACAATTTTGTGAGCATCACTCCTTCCATACACTCCCATGCATTTGTGTATAATTTTGTGTGCAGTGCGATTTTCATTACGCTACAGTTGAGTAGCTCGACTCAACCAATTTGACTTTCCAATATGACGTCATCGGGTCTAAGAATTTTGTCTGATCTGTCGTCTTGGCTTAGACAAAGTGCTTACCATGTTAACAATATGGATAAGGCAACCTTCTTTAAGAACCTAAACAAATTCTAAGACATTTTTTTTCTTAGACTTAAGAAAAATTTCTTAGAGATCTATTGAAAACGGGCCCAGACTTTTATGTTTTATTGTGATTCTTATATTTTTTCAAATTTCAACACCTCATTACTGTTTTCTTGTTTTTCATTGCAGTACCTTTTATATATGATGCTACAATAGCTTACCAATACAATGCTCAGCCCTCGATCTATGATCTTATCTGTGGGAAACAGTTTGACTTCCATTTATATGTAAGGTAAGACTAATCAAAATTTCTATGTTTCATAATGTGTGTTATTCAACACACTCCCAGATCCCAATCAAATGATTGGTCGAACGAACGCAGTCACTTTTGATTAACTCATTCGGACTATCCAACCGTTTTGAGGAGTTAGGCTAACTCAGACCAAGGGACAACTCGGCCCAGCTGCAAAAAATGGTCATTTTTTTTGCATGTTTAGGGTTAAAGGTAGGGGTAGGGGTAGGGTTAGAGTTAAAGTTAGGGTTAGGGTTAGGGTAAGATGACAACAATTGACCGTTTTTGCAGCTAGGTCGCGTTGTCCCATGGTCCGAGTTAACCCGGATCCATTTTTAAGTACAGGATGACAGCAGTGCGCGTAGAGCTATTTAAAGTGCGCTTATGTAGTGTGTAGGCTATTGAGCACTGCGCATGAATGAGTGCAGTGGTAAGCACGCTTGTACTCTCTGTGAAAGCTACAGCAGTACTGTTTTTCAACCTGTACAAATATGATAGATACAAAATGTATTTGACAGCATTATAAGATTAATCGTATCTTCTAATATTTTACTTTTTACTTCCAATTTCAGAGAACTTCCACTGGATGAAGTACCAACTGATTCAGAAGACGCTACAGCACAATATTGTCATGATATGTACAAACAAAAGGTACATTTTACTGGGTGCTTTGAGACATCTTTTGGGGATTGGATGACATTTTTGGAAGATGGAGCTATGTTATTAATGTTGTTTGAAATATATATATTTATACATTTTATCCTCATAACATATAACATTGCTTCATTGAATTACTTGTTACATTCAGAAATAATTGGACTTCATTCTTTGCTTAGTATGAATTCATCAATAAGCTTCTTAATATGTTATTCCTTTCACTAATATTGAAAGTTTCATTGGAATTTTTTTAGCTGTATCTCTTTAGAGAAGTAATACTTTAAACATACAGAACAAATTATTTGACTATGATTGGTCCCCTTTCAGATTGAATTCTCTGTCCTTTCAGGAACCAATTCAGGCCCTGGCTCCTCTCTGACACTTGCCACGTTTCACATTGGACATAATATATGGGGCTCTAACATTTCAATGTCTCATTTCATTTAATTGAGTAAAAGGAATGCATAGCTACAAAGCAATTCCTATTTTGGAGGAATGATTCCTATGTCTGGCCTTCAAGATATTGTACTGAACCCTAGCTTCCTATCTTTTTGTTAAAAGTTCTGTGTGAAAAGTATATAAAGTAAATTGTATTCCTAATTTTGCCTTGAGAGATACCTATTTTATGCTGTGAAAGATTAGCAGGTATTCAAAGCAACTGGTATATTCCAAGCAACTGGTGTGTGCGGGCAAGCACTGAATCCAATGACCAGGGTAATAGTATATTTGTTAAGCGCTTAAAGACATTTGTAATAAGCGCTATATAAAAATTAAATATTATTATTATATTTGTTCTGCCTTGCAGGATGAAGCATATGACTACTTTCTGCGGAACGACACATTTGAGGGTTACGATGCGTCGAGACCAGGACACGTCCCTCCTCGCACACTCCTCCCACTGGTAGTGATGTCATCCTGGATGGTGGTCGTCGGTATACCGCTTATCTATTACGCCCTCTCCATCCTCCTATCTGGTTCCACACTCATGATCATCATCGTCTGTGGGGGCTCATTCGCAGGTACGTAACATCAAACTTTGAAATGTATTGCATTCATTTCTACTCCATCTTTTTTTTAAATCCTGTCTAAACATGACAATTATATACATGTAAAACAAAGTAAAATAGGTCCATAGTTTAAAGCATCCATGGAATTTTACTTTGAAAATTAAGGCGTTTAAAGAAAAGCCTTTTAATTTTACTTAGTTACCCCATTTTAATCGTATTTGTATAAAGTTGAGTTCTGGTAATGCGATTGCATTGTGAAAGAAACGTTGTGGAATTGATCAGAAAAGGTTGATAAGTATTGGTGTGTAACTGCAAGGTTCTGGAATCATCAAAATGATAAGGAATTTGGCCCAGTCTTGGTAAAGTTACAAGCACTGTACACAGAAAGATGTAAATGGGACTACACGAACATGTGGTATAAAAATCTGTCCTGATTTTTATGATGTTACATGCCATATTTTGAATATTAAGGCATTTGATTAGCCATGCTTTTCAGGGAACTCTTTGTATCTGATGTTCTTTCACACTTGGATGATACAATGATAAAGCTCACAAATTATTTGTCACCTCTTCCCCGAACTCGACCTTCTCTTTAAGGGGTCATTTTCCCTCATGTCCAGGCCATCCTTTAATCATACCATTTTCTTTTTTCATTCCTATCGTTGTTACAGTTTTCAGATTTTCCAAGTCCTTACTGAAAGTGACGGATGTTACTAGGGGATCAACGTACGGGAGCAGTAAGAGTCGAAGCATTAAGGGGTCAGAGTTCACGCCCAATGGAGATCACATCCCTTTGACTAACGGGGATAAGAAGGATTCATAATCAAGTACTTGTGCAAAATAAAAAATTGTTTTTAGCAAATTTTTTATATTTGAATGACAAAATTATAGTTTATACAAATTATATTCAAAGCAACCTAAAATTCTATGCACTTCGAGATTTTAAAAATGGTTGTAGATGAGGAATAATTTCTGAAAAATATATTGTATAGGATTTATGAAAATTTGATGTGGGTGCATGAGGTTTAGCTTTTACAATGGCATACAGTCTTCTTTTATTACAGTCTTCAGTTTGTCCGAGTACGGACTGAAAGTGAGTGATGCTACTAAAGGATTGTCGTACGGGAGCAGTAAGGGGTCAGAGTTCACGCCCAAACCAGATCAGATCCCATTGGCTAACAGGGATAAGAAGTGCATGTGCAAAAAGAAATATTGTTATAGCAAATTTGATATATTTTGATTGATGAAATTATAGTTTATACAAATTATATTCAAAGCACCATACATTTCTATGCATTTTAGGACTCTGAAGATGGGTACATTCTGACCAAAATGCACTAGTGTTTTAGGTTTAGCTTTTACATGGCATACTTAAAGGAATAGTTGAGTTCTGTTTTCAGACCGCAAATGCCTTCAAAGTGCATGGTTATTGCTCTTATTCTTATCTATGACATTTCTAGTGCCCTTTTAGAACCTAAAATTGCTATGAAGGTAATTTTAGACCCCAAAATGTGTGAAATTTAGCCAATACAATCATACCAATTCGGCTCCACTTTAAAAAAAACATGCATTTAAAAAGAGCATGTATAGCATGTGTATGTATGTGCACTACCAGTAGTCTATGGGCATTTTCAAGGAACTATTCAAAAGTAATGCTAAGTAATTGATTATGTAGTAAGTGCATTCACCTACGGGTAGTTGTATAATTGATGGATTGGCAACTACATCTACCAGAATTAATCCAAATTACAAATTCTTCCTTCATGTTTGAAATATTGAAGAGCGCAGTGCTCGGTGTGTGCTTATTTTATATTCAGAGTTTCAGGCTATCATGACAATCAGGGAGAACTTGGAAAATGAGCTTTCTTTGAACCAGTTCACGCTCAGACAATCAAGCAATGTACATGTAGAGGTCAACCATGCCTGTCACTGTTCCTTTGGGTACCCATACTTCAATCTCTGTATATGAAGAGCTTAATTCCAAAAGGAGCTAAATCCACTTTTGATGCAAAGAGTTTTAGATATCGGAACATTGTGCACTTAAGTACCCGTCTTTCAACAAAATCATTTATCTAAATTTTGGGAGAAATTATGAAAAAAATGCATCTTCTAATATCACTTTTCCATAGACGCCTGTGCAAAATCTAGTAAACAATTTCTTTTTTCTTTGAAGTTACAAAAATGAATTTAGCTCCTTTTGGAATTAAACTATTTGTATGTTCCTATAACTCACTGGGTTATGTAACAGAAGATACAGTGGACATTATTCAAGAACACAGGATTTGTATATTTTCTGACCAGTTCAAGCTGTGTTTTGTATTTTTATATATTTTTTGTATTACTGATTGTAGCTTAATTATTTATCCCACCAAAAATTAATTTGCTGCAAATCTGTAAAGATTTTTGCTATTTCAAACAGTAATACTTATGATTTATGCAATTTCAATTATTATTTTGGGTATTTTGGGTATTTCATGTTTTATTGATCCTTTTTGTTTCATATTAAACATCACATAGTATCAACATAAATTATGATGGATCATATCATGAGATATAAATGACTTGAAATGTACATGTATAACATACATAAAAACAATCAAGGGACTTGTTGTTGATTGCTAGTATTAAAAGATTACAAGCTTACAAGAGACAACCAGAAATAAGCAATGCTCATTAAAAAAACAAATTATACAAAGACCAGGCACCTGGTCAAATCAAGGAAAAAATATAAAACGCAACCTCCCATTCTTACTGACCCTTCATAATGTTCAAAATGCTTGGCAGCATGGATGACTAATTTGTTTTGTTTTTGTTGTGAAATTTCAATTATTTTTAAACAGTATTCTATAACTTTGGAATTATTCAATGGTTTTCATCTTTGATCACAAGTGTTCTTATTTATATGATCCGTATAACAAGTGTGCTTTTTTTAGCTTAGCTAGTCAGTTAATCTTTGCTTTTTAAGATGTGTTTGGGAAATTTGCAATGAGAAAAAAGAAGTAAAGATGATGGTGCACCAAAGTGTGCTCTTGGCAAGATTTCTCAGTTTTAAGGGTGCTGTGCAGGACATGTATTCATTTTGTAATTTAAAAAAAAAAATTTTGTCAGGGAGTTTTTCTTAATACTGTAGAAAGATGAAAAACTTGAAAATGCTGAGGAAGGTTTTCTTATTGGTGCTTTACAGTATTAATTTTCTATAGTTTGTAATCATGATTTGTACTTACGCTCATACAATTCTCAACAAAAAAACTGTCAGGGTGAAAGGTGAAAAAGCATTGAGTCTTTTCACAAAAGAATGCACAGAAAATTCATGTACACTTACTTCGTATTTCATGTTGAAGTCGATAGATTTTTTTTTTTTTAATCTTTGATTGTGTGAATTGAGCAAATTGGTTTGTGCTTGCATGTAAAACCATTAGCTCCCTAGTTCAGAACAAGAGGGGAAAAAAAGAAAAGTGATTTGCATATTATATAATAATAACAATAATAATACATCACATTCATAACGCGCCTAATACTTTGTTTCTAGGCGCAGTACATATTACAGTGGTCATCGGATTCAGGTCTTACCCGCAAACAATATATGCACATTCTCCACTCCCTGGGGAGCATTCCGGCCGGTCGCCATTTTACAAGCGCAATTCATCCAAACACATTAACTTTCGCATTCTACCAGGTACCCATTTAGCACCTGGATGGTGAGTGGCAAATGTAGATTTACGTCTTGCCAAAGGACATTAGTGCCGTGGCGGGACTCAAACACCGTACCTTGCGATCAGCAGTTGAGTGATTTATATACTAGACCACAACACCTCTACTGGAGCCATTCAGTCGTTGAGAAAAAAGGGTGGAACCAAAAAAAAGCAGTAACTTGCATATTGCATGTAGGTACCAAGGACTTAATCAGCATTTGTCTGTTGGGTTAGGGGAACTGGTCATATCAATCTCAGAGAAGCCCAAAATGCCTATCACATTTTCAGGTTCATATTTTAATTCCAATGTGCATTTATAAAATTTGTTATAATTGCCCACTTTTGGGGGATTGTGATGTCATTGGTTTAGTGATGTATTGATAAATTTAAATTTTATACGTCTACATCAACGTGGAGTAGAGGTAACTTTACCATTCTAAAGTGTATTATACAACAATTTAATTCAGAAGGTGCAATTGGATATCCTTTTTGGAACATTTTAAAAGAAAACAAAAAATTTCACATTGTCAAAATATTATTTTTTTATTTTTATTTTTATAGATTCAATGTGAATTTGTATCAACAAAAAAACTTCACTTATCAATGCTTTTATAATAGAGCTGAAAATCAGACAAAACCTCAAATTAAATGATACTGTTAACATCATTTTATGCTCTCAATTCTGTAATTTATTTCAAGAATTTCGCAATGCCATAACATGTTCAAAAGAAGCAATTGTTCTGTTAATAGGTGCCTATTATTTTGTGCAAAAATTGCACATGAGGCAAACGAGCAATCGCGCAGAGAGAGGAAGAAAGCAATCCAAGTGTTATACAGATTTTTTTTTTTTTTTAGGAAAGTTGAGTTCTGTTTTCAGACCGAAAATGCCTTCAAAGTGCATGATTATTGCTCTTATTCTTATCTATGACATTTCTAGTGCCCTTTTACGATCTAAAATTGCTATGAAGATAATTTTAGACCCCAAAATGTGTGAAATTTAGCTAATATGATCATACCAATTCAGTTCCACTTTCAAAAAAATATGGTGACAGTTAATTAATTAATTGATTAAAAATAACAATACATGGGCCGGCTGGTTGTGCGTAATATAACAAACACAAAAAAGCCAACATCGGCATTGGCTGAAATATGACATAAAAGGCGCCATTTCGTTTTTTCAACGGCTTTTTCAAGTTATCAAATATTTGTGGTGGTACACAAGTATTAGAAATTGTTATATTTACAGATATTTCAGCCGTCTCTCAACCGATTTTGATCAAACAAAGATGATTTTGTCATTTAAATTGTATGTTCTTTCAAATTTGACACTCAGTTTTTCCATTATCTCACACAAAAAATATTTTGTGTAGCGCCATCTGCAACAGAACTCAACTATCCCTTTAAATGTTACAAACAGCTACATTTGCTTTTCCTGTAAAGTGAATTCTAATGAAAGTAGCTTTAGAAAAAAGTATTATAATGAAACTACTTCTGAAAATGACAATCACATTATTTATATAGTGCAGCTTATTTAAATTATTCAAATCTACTGGATTTTTAACCTGTGTTTAATTGTTACTACATGTATTAGTTATTGTTATTGTTAGCAAATATCAGGGTAGATTACATAAGAGAGACACTTTTTTTTTTTTTTTTGGTATTGAAATTTGAAAATTTGACATTTTGCTCCGTTGGGGGGGGGGGGGGTTAAGGTCATCTTTTTGAGGTCGGCCATGGAATTTTTTTTTTTTTTTTTTTTTTTTTTAATTAAAAAAAAAAAAAAAAAAAAAAATCCAAAAGGGGGGGGGGGGGGGGGG